GCAATAAGCTTCTTTAGTGAGTAATTAGTTAGTCAAGTTCAGCTTCACTGAATATTGATTTCGCTTAGCATCGACTTGAACTAGTTACGAATTCAATCAGCAATGACTTCATTGGCTAATAGCTTTGCTATAACTAATATGATGAATTTTTGAGATATTTTGATGACATTTGGTACACTGACATACTTTGGCCCAAGGACGAACACTATTGAAAATAGTCGGTACCCTTTTCGACCACAGCCCTACTTTGAAAAGTTTTTATATGGAAGAAATTGCAATTTTCAAAATTGTTTTGATAAGAGTGACTAAGTAATAATATTTCGATATTCTAAATTGGTGTGAAAACTTTGCACGGGCTGGGGAAATTTTTTGAACCTCTCCTGATATAACCGTTCCTGTGGAAACTAAAGCTTTACACGTTAAAAGAGTCGAATTTTCAATATTTCATGGCTAATAATAGTAAATTGACAAAATAATCTACTTTACCGAATATGGATCAGGTAGGTCAATTTTTTGAATATTACTGCACATAAGGACTCTCGCGAAACGTAAACCCTTACATGCGAAAAAAGCGTAATCGCAAATTTTTTTGTGATCGAAATATGTTCTTAACAGTAATTAAATAAAAAAAATTAAGTGGACCTAATTTTAACCACATAGGTCTCTTTCTTCCCCCACTTCTTACAGAATATCTCATGATATCTTAATAATTGTTAGGAGAGTTTCAGCGAAAAAAAAATAACCCTAGGGAATTTGGATCACATAGATTTATTTTTTTGGACCCCCGCTTATATAGGCGCTATCACGCAACGCAAGCTCTGGTATGGGCAGAAAATCTTACCTTCCAATATACAAGTTTTCATAAAAATTACGGCTTTGCATGAAAATAGTGGCGTATTATTAGTAAAACGAACAAATAACCGTACTAGATGAAGTGGTTTAGGGTATGTAATGATTGGCGTCGCCCGACTTTAATGTTCTTACTAGTTTTTATTTTTGATTTTATTAAGAAGTCGTTGCTCTCACGAGTTGAATCCTAGAACAAGTGTTTACTCTAAAGAGTCGTAACAATTACGATGAAAAGTTAAATACATTTCTCAGGCTCTCTATAAAACAAAGTGTTTTTTTTATAAATTCCTTTCACGACTAAAAAAATTTAACGCAATATACGCATTTTGTTGAACACATCTAACATAATGCAAATGTTTTGTGCACTATACATAACTAAAAGTAAATGAAATTTAGTTTTTTTTTTTTGTTACAAAACCAACTACATTAGGGCATGCTCCGGCTATTGTAAAACTCATCGACTGTTAATAATACGCACAGAGAAACAACAAAAAGTAAAAACAACTAAAAACAAAATTAAAAAAAAAAGAAAAGAACTAAACAAAATTATTTATAACCCATTAAAGTTCAACACTTACTTGTTTTGCCTAAAAATTATTATTAATATCTAAAAAGCGGAATTCTGTAAAAAAAATTGCAGTTGTTTTTTTTTCTATTTTGTTTTAATGAAAAAAATGTTTTAAAAAATTTTTCTTAAATAAATGTTCTGTTTTTCTTTTTTTTTTTTAATAATTTCGTTCTATATGAGAAATGGGTAAAGAAATTATAAAACGTATATGGTGTACCTGGGAAAGAGTGAAATATCAAAAAAAAAAAAAATAAAAAAATTTTTTTTCTATTTTTTCTATTTGATTGTGATGTTGTTTAAAATTTTTCCTCTTTGTGATATTCGAATGACAGGGGTTAGGGAAAGGAAAGAAAAATCCAAGAGAAACGAGGATCGATTAAAATTTTTTCCATTTTAAACAGTTTAAGGTTAAAACTGTTACTCTCTGTGCGGGGAAGGGGAAAATGAAATTATTATAGCCACCACTGGCAAAGTTAATTGAATTCGTCATATGCTTGCGGGGTCAAGAAACGACATAACACAATGCTTACAAGCTATTAACTCAAAGGGGAAGTACACGGGGTCTTTTTGCAAAATATGGCTACAAATTTGCATAACTTAACCTATCAAGGTATTTCAATTACGGCTCGTTCAGTTATTTGACAATTCAATAGATAATTAAAGGTGTGACATTTTTCAAATTTCGATTTAAAGAATAAAAAGTAAGGTATAGCTTAAAAAAATATAGCTCTTCGCCAGCTTCCTTTTGATGGAAGGAAAAAGAGAAGAAACGAGGTTAATGAGTTGCTATTTAAGGAAAACACTAAAACACACGGCGGAGCCCAAGGAGCCCCGCTGCATATACGATGTAACAAGCCCAAATTTGAATAAAAAAAAAAAAACATCAATTAGTCTACCTTCCCATATGTAGACGACAAATCACACAGGGGATGTTGTCCGCTATTCGTGCAGGTCGATAAGGAGGAAAGAGAAGGAAGTAGGCAAGTAGTGGCAGCAGTCTTTTGCCGACTGAACGCTCACTATAGCTATGATCATAGAAAACTCTACTGCACTTGCGATGTGCACCCACGAACATTGCCTTCGTATAAGCACTTCCTATCTACTCAACAACGCATTGTAATGAAATAGAACAATTCCCGACCTAGACAAGGGTCCCCTTTTATTAATAAATAAACAAAAGCACTACGTTAAATTCATAAAATTTTGCACTGATCGTTCTACCTATAAACTTATCTTTCATATCTTCCTATTCTTGTTTAGGTGAGAGAAGAAGTCAGGCCAGTTTAGAATAGAACCGATTAAATAAGGTTAGATTAATGTGCCATTCGCTCAATCAGGAAGTTGTTTTAAAAGTCACATACGCACATAGAACCTTCCCACCTTGTAGGTGGGGACCCTTTTTTGCCTATGCAAATATGTTGTATATCAGATAGTCATAGAAGAAATTTGTAGAAAACATGCAAAAATACTATAATGGATATGATTAAATATCCTACACGAACCTGCTGTTATCCACATATCTATTCCAACGTGATAAAGGAAACGGTCGACAAAGTGGTCAAATGCTCTCAAACATCACGATCTATATATTGTTGAGCACAAGAATACTAGACGGATAGACGGACAGGCAAGCTTAAATTGTTGAAACCAAGAAAACTATATGGACTGACGTACAGTCAATCTTAGAATGTTTCAAAAAGTGATCCTCAAACGAATGGTATAATAAAAGAGGATTAAGTATACTCTTGCAGCACATATGGGTGTGGGATATAAAAATGTCTTATCCTAAACTTATCCTAAGTAATTGTCTAAAGAAAGCTGCTTTCGCATTACGGAACCAAACTCAAATAAAAACCATACGCCTCCCACCGCCATACGAAATGAGGCGTTTTATGGGAAGTGGTCGTAAAAGCAGTCCGATATGAACTATTTTCGATAGCCGTATGCCAAAACACGGCATTGCAACAAATTGCATTAAGATATCAAGGCGAAAAGACGCAGGGGCAAGGTTTAAGCAATTCGGAAAGTTATTCTGATTCGATCAATATCAGGGACTATCTCAAGCCTGCCTGAGTGCGTCCATATGGGCTTAGAGTATCCTTCTATCACAAGTGACATAGAGGATGAAAGCATTGTTTCAGTTATACTGTTTGGCATTTTTAAAAATTGTTTTTCGAGATAAATGCGTTTCGATGCGTGTGGCATCAACGTGTTGCTTTAGCACAATAGAGTTTATTTTTATTCATTTTCTTCCATTAGCCGGCAATCTCAGTATCATAAAAATGCTTTTTCATGTTGAAATTTTCTCATTCCCTTTAGACAGTCTTTCATGACATTTTCTTCTTTTTGGCAATTTTTTGCTCGAAAACGCCTTGCTTGGTGTATCTGTTAAAGACAGAATCGTTTCTTGGTAGAAGCATTGATACGTTGGCAATCCCTCTCAGCTTTATATCTACCGGAAGGTCACATTAACGAAGCTGTACTAACATGTTTTTTTCTTTTCGGAAATGCTTCCAAACGAGCGTGAGCACTTTTCAAAGACAGCCGTTAGCGTTAGTTAAATGAATTTTAAATCAACAAGCAAGATATTAGGCTGCAACTTCCTAGCAGAGATTCATATGCCATTTGGTGTTCGTGTTCTAATCGACGGTGTTAGGGAAGACCTTGACGAAAAAAGAAAATGTCCCTGAAAAATGTTTAATGACGTTGCCCCTTACAAAAGGAATCAAACATTCAAAAAGTTCTTTAGATTTTTTAATATCCCTGCAACTAAGGTGATAATGCTACGTAGACTTGTGAAGAATTTATGGTGTCTACGTTGAAGAAGCATTACGAAAATCAGCGGCAAGCAAGCGTATCGATTATTTTCTCTCTGGAAATTTCGATAAGAACAACTCGCGGGTCCAAGTCTCATCCACCATAATACTGCGTTTCATTATCGATTGATAATCAGAAAGTTTCTCCTTACAATAATACGTTTTTTGTGTCGTACAAAACCAAGCACAGCTAAAACGCTATGTGAAAACACAGGGATGTTTGTAAGAGTGCTATCAATTTGGGAAAAACTCATTAACAATTGATAAAGATTTTTGAGGTTACAAACAAATTCAGCATATATATCGGACACAGTATTATATGTCGTTTCTAAGTAAATCATATCGAACGAAGTATGGGCAAGATACGCTGGCTTCACTTAAGAATAATTATACTTCTTTTCGATCCTGACTCTTAAATAGCCCGTTACGCTTACAATTGTCTGTATTTGTCAAAAAAAAAAGAAGAAAACAAACTCAAACCAGTGGTGGGTATCAACAAAATTCGATTTATGTCTGATTTCGTTTGCGTTAATGATGTGAAAAAGAGGGAACGAGAAAAAGAGAAATAGAGAGAGAGTGAGAGAGAGAGAGAGAGAGAGAGAGAGAACGAAAAGGGGTAAAGAAAAATATCACTACCATGTTGTTATGTTAGAGAGAAAGGAATTCGAGAGAGAAGCATTTCATTTGTAAATTCAACGACGACGATGTGCATAAAAAACTGTTTCTTCTTGATTTAAATATATTTTCATAAAATTTCCAATCGACTACTAAAGCGTTTACGTTTTCTCAGAACTACATCAAAATTTTCAATATTTCTTTTTTTGCTTTGCGCCAAACATCATTACAACAGAAGCCGTTTCATAGAAATTTCGTTTAATAAATGACCGCCATGTTTGGGGTCACACTGTGAGTGAGAGTTAGTTAGTAAAGTGATTTCTTGTTGCTCGTTAAAAATTATTTAGAAAATGAAAAAAAAAAGAAAACGAAAACTTTTTTTTTTTTAAATTCTAAGCATTTACTACTAAAGAGATTTAAAGAGATAATAAATACGCGCAAAATTACTTGACTTGAAAAATAAGCAACAATTTTCTAAGTGAAAAAGTTTGAGAAAAAGTTAAAATTTTTTTCCGAAAGAATTTTCTTCTATTTTTTTTTTTTTTTTTTTTTAAATTTATGAAAAAATTCTCATTTCTGCGTTTTTTATTTTTTTCTATTTTTGATGATTACTGTTACGCTCGTTTAGTTTGGCTAAAGTAATACTTGAATTCAAAAAAAAAAAAAAAGGGGAAAAAAACTTTATGCTTAGCGACAAAATGAAATTTTGTCGCACCTTCTTTTTGATTTGTTGTACGTTTTTTATGAACCGTTGGCATCGCCGCCATCATTTGATGATGGTTGTGCTGTTGCTGATAATGATGATGATGGTGGTGGTGTTGGTGGTAGTTGTGTAGTTGTTGTTGTTGTTGTTGTTGCTGATAGGCTTGTTGGCCTCTAATTGCACCCATTGATATTGATTTTTTGGGCTGATCTGTTGTTGCTGTTGTTGTTTGAGTTTCTGGGCCCTTTATTCTACGAACATTGGGCCAAACAAATTGCAAACGATACTCTGTGCTCAATTTTGAGATGGTCTTTTTGAATAAGCCTTGACTTGACTCACCCGCCTGCAAATAGAGAAAAAGAATAAAGAAAAACGACAAGAAAACAGATACGACACACACACATACATACACATATACATAATTATATAATAATTAATAAATAATTATTTATTTATTAATTTATTTAAATTATTTATTTATTTATTCATTTTTTTAACACAATAATATACAAACGCATACGCATGATAGGCAAACATGTACAATTCAAAGAAAAAAAAAAATTTTTTTTTTCGTTTTTTGTTCATTTGTTGAAAAAAAGTTAAGTCGTTTTTATTGAAAAATGGAATTCAAAAAAAAAAAAAGAGAAGAGTAAAAAATAGACAATGAAAGACAAGAAAAAAAGACACACAAAATACAAATATTTTCACAAAGATTGTTTTTTTATATTTTTTTTTTTATTTAACTACTTTTTAATATTTTATGCATTTAATACGTAAGACTGTGCAATAAAAAAACAGTAAATTCCCTTGAAGAAGAAATTTTTCAAAAAGTTAATGATGCTAAGTATTGTTTATAGATATCCATAAATGATTAATAGGGTATAATGAATGACGAATAGTTATAGTGGTCATGAATAATTGCTAATAGCTAATGAATGATGAATGATCGCTAATGCATGGCGAATACTAGTTTAATGAATAGAAAGTATGAACTATGATTACTATTATAATAAGTTCAGGAAGTTCAGTCAATGAAACGAGGAAACCCAATAAGCTAGGAAGACATCTTTTTTTAAATGTATGCTTTTATTTAAAAGCAGCAACAAATTGATTTTTTTGCACTAGAATTTGTTCAGTTCAGTTCCCTGACAATTTATATATTGACAGCGTAGAAAACAAATATATGTGTATATTAGTTAAGTATGTGGAATTTTTACACAGAAAATACGCTTTTGCTGTGTACAGTAAATAAAATCACTGTAGTCGGACATTGCTCTCTCATGGCTTGCGCTACCTGATAGTTATTCATGAATTAACTTTTCAAAGGAAGCGGTTGATTCGAAACATTTTCGATAGCGCACATCCTCGGATCAAATAATGCCGGTATATCAAATTTCATTAATATATGTCAAAAACTGCGAACTTTAGGTTGAACATAAGACAACGAAATGGACAAGCGGACATTCGGACTTAGCAAGTTTAATTCAAAAAGCGATTTTAAATCGATCGATCAGTATAGTAAAAAGTGTACTTATATTAAGTCCTTCTGGTTCCTGAATATAAGAAAAGCAAAACGGGCATATGGACAGACAAGCTTAGAAAGTTCGACTCAGGGAGGGATTCAGAATGAGAAAGTGATTCTGTATTGATCGGTATAATAAAAAGTGGATCTATGTTCAATCCTGCTGAGTTGTGCATACGTCCGCACAAACGTAATACACTCTTGTTGTATTACACACAGGGTATAGGGTAAAAAAAGGGTCTAAGAGATTTTTTTATTTCTTAATTTTTAATATGAGTAACCACTCAATCAATATGCATGGCACGATGATGGCCAGAGAAAAAGTCGAGAAAGACAAAGAGTTAAGGAATTGGGCCGCCTAGTGTGTTTGCATGTGTGAGTGGTCTAAGCACTCACTATAGCCACAATTTTGAAGTATCATTAAACCGCACTGAGGATATGATACCGTAAACTAAAACGCGACTGCTATCTACCAGCGCAAGCGGTTTGGAGGCAAACCAGCCATCGAAGCATTTTCACACATTTTCATAAGAAGTAGAGCGCTGCGCAGCAATTGCCTTTCCTATCGACGCATGAAAATGCTCATCGGAGGTGCTTTCCCCCATGAGCTAGCACTTCCAACTTCAGTGCTTACAACATATCGCTTAGTGGCTTGCTACATCGACGGATGGACAGGTATCTTGTAAAAAAATAGCCTTATATAGGCTTCTTTGACCCCTTTGTTATGGAATCGAAAGTTGTAAATTAAAATGGGAGAATAAATTGTCGATGTCGTTTTGAGGTTGTTTAGCTTGTAAATTTCTTGTGGGCCGATGCGTAAGTAGATCACTCCAACTTTTCTAACCTCCGATCCTCAGTCGATCAGAGAATGATTATGCCAAATTTTGGCTTCGTATTTTTGTTTTTACGATAGATAGCATTTTCTCAAAAGAGGACTTTTGGAGCACAGCAGCTAATTTTTTTCATTACCAAATCTAAGTCAAATAAATTCGTGTTAGCACGCCGTGTTGGGTGCCACTTTTGTTGTAACGTAATAATATGTTTTATTAATATAGTCAAAAGGTCAGACAGTCGGAGTTAGTCACGGATAAACGTACGTATCTTTGTAAGGCTATCTAGTTAGGCAGCAATGAAGGGAAACTCCCCAAACACGGACAGATCATTACGTTCAAGAAATACGCGCAGAGAAACTCTTAAGACGCCGGACGGACGAGGAAGAGCTTTTCACCGGACAAGCTGCCTGTTATGCCTTAGGTTATTGTATACACCGCCCTACCTACGGTTGCCTTTGGGCCATAATTTTGTGTGGCAAACCACGAAACTCCTTTTGCTATAAATAGACGTTACGGGCCTTTCGAAAGCTAAAGGATCCGGTAAACTTTTTTTACCTCTGTTTATCAATATTTATTGCAGTTGAAAAACAAAAACAACAAATTTTGAAACATTACGTGCCATGTGACCATTTTTTCCGAAGCTCAACGTCTGCAAACGGTTAAAGTGACCCAAGAAATGGGTGAGAAGAAGTTCTAGTGTTAAACCTTTAAATTAAAAGCTTTAAATCTTTGAGGTTATAATTCAACGGCAAAATATGATCGTGAACGGATGCATTACGTTTTGTTTTAAATAAATTTCAAACTTCAAGATTGAGAAAAAGAATCAAAATGACGTAGAAGGTAGTTCCAGTGTTAAAGTGTGTTTAATTAATTGAAAAAAACTCTATAGGAAAATTAATTTAGCATTTTTCACTTCTTCTTTATAAGAAGAGTTATTCAAATCTTACGAACCGAATACAATTTGTCCTATCTACATATATATAAAAAAAAATTTCTCTTACATTCATTCTTGACGTTGCATGATGCCCTACCAATATAATCCTGCTTACTATTAAGTTTCTCTTATGGCTTTTGAAAATGTTTCCATTCGCTTATTGCGAGGGCACATATGCATTGAACTTAATTTATGTGAAAATGTCTTTCAATTGAATGGCTTTTCTTTTTCGTAAATTACATTCGCTACACGTTACATAACCACCGATATATTTATTTCTTTCATATACGTTTTACCTGACATCAGAACAAATGTAATTTACGGAAAACCAAGTCATTGAGGGTATTGAAGAAATCGTATATATATATATGTTGTAACAAATAACAGAAATGTAATCACAAAGTACCAATAATGCCATTCATATATATAGATACACACACTAACAGACAGAGGGCGGTTACAAATATATAGAGGCATTTGAAAAGGGGAATTAATATGAATTCATATATCTCGTAAATATATTATGGATATGAAGCAAAGTTATTGCTGCTTAACACACCCAAGGGTTTCAGAAAGAAAATTAAAAAAAAGAAGAAACGAAATTCTTATAAACAGAAAGAAAAAAAACAAGGGAAGAAAGATAGAAAGATTTACTTTTAAACGAATTTTTAACACCTTTCATCTCACAATCTTAACTAATTGAGAGTGAGTGTATAGAGATTAAGACTTTTGTGAACTTGTCGAAAGCTGGCAATTTACGGGCAATTTCTGCTTTAGTTCCTTAGCCATCGAAAAGATCTTATCCCAATTCTCGATTTATAGAGCGCGCATTGAAATTTTCATTTCAACCTTTGCCTTTCTCCTTCTTTAAATAATAAAGTTGGGTCAACTTTTGCCACATCACATCCGAAGACCTCACTAAATAATTTAATCAGTAGTACCGACGGTCATTGAGTACAAAGAGCCAAGATGGAATCACTGAAATTAATGACTCATGTTCGATGGGAACAGTTTCAGTTCACAATCACAAACATGAAAATAGTTTAGCAGTTTACCAGAAATCCTCGGTCTAGAAAATGTACGTCTATGCTTTCATTGCAGCGTACATGTAGCCCAGGTTAACTAAGGACAGCACAGACCTGCTATTGCTTACTCTCATTATTGCTGGAAGCAATTTGCCTTTTTCGAGCCTAGTGTCTCCTGAACGGGCAGAACAACAGATAAACCTCCCCTTTTCATTCAAACATAGACACACTTTGCCGGGCTCGTAAAGGCAGCCCGGAAGATCTTCAACACGATAGTCTTAAAAGCTTCAGCATTGAAAAAAAAAAAAAACCATAGCGGGCCAGACAGGTGAGGGCATCTGTGTTCAATCGACAACGTCAAGAATTCCGAATCCACATTTTTGATTATGTTACAAACGGAAAGACGGAATTATTAACCCGTCAATTACTGATGACAAGTCTAATAATGCCGTAAGAAATATACTTCAAACTCTTGTGTCCTTATAATCTATAATCTTTACGTATGCAGTGATTTTGAACACATAAGTAAATAGATTACACAAACACCTATAGCTATATAAGAAATGCTATATGAATAAAACTAAAGAACATAAGAATGTCTTGTCTTCATGCAGAATTCTTTAAAAGGAACTTTAAAAAGAATATGAATATATGAAAATAGATATTTTTTTTTAATTTTATGAATTTTGCAAACTACTAATAAAAAAAGACTCAACAATAATATCTTAACATATAATTTATTTAAAAATAATTAAAAATTAAAAAAAAAAGAAGGTAACAATTTTACTCGCTCTGCCAAAGGTTGCAAACATATCCGATTTATTATAAATTACAAAAGGGGCCCCAGTCAAATTGCATGACCAATTCAGTCACATCAGCTTATTGGCCAGCCGTCCATGTCTTTCTGAAAACTTTTAAAATCCTAAATATTAATACAAAAAGGTGTGGCCTTCGCCCCAATGTTAAGTATCCTGCACCGCTCTCAGTTGTTCATATATTGCATCATTTTTAATAAAAGGTGTTGTATGGGAAATGGTCAAAATAGTGCAATAGCGCTTGCCCTTGGGCTAAAACACATCAATGTACGGAATTTCTGGGGTATGTCGAAAATATTATGGTTTGTAGCTTGAAAAAGACAAGAAAACAAGAAGGACAGATGGGCAGATGTGCTTAAATCGAATTGAGAAGTGCTTCTGAATCGACCGGTATAATAAAAGTTGTTTCTATTTCAAATCCTTCTGAATGTTACATACATGCGCACAAACCTAAATAATATGAACCTATTATATAATATTATAATATTAGGAGGTTCCACATATTTTGACCATTGCTTGACTTTGAAAAAGGCCTTTCATGTGGAAAATCGGTGCAATGTATATTAATAGACATATTAATAGAAGTCGCTGACATCCTCCTAATATAAAATTATATATATATATATAAATATACCTCTCCGCCGCAAATCATGCAAGGTATAACTATTAAAAGTTGAAACACAAAAATCAAATAAAGATTTTTGTCTACCACCAACGAAGACTAAGAACATGACAGATTTGTTATTATAGCATATAAAGGGCCAGCCAGATTGCACAGAAATGCAATACTTAATCAATTGAGTGATTTCAATCTGTTTGTCTATCCGTCCATGCGTTTTTGAAATGCTCCAAAAGTCAACTATTATTATATAAACCTGTGTGTCAGTACTTATGTTATTTAATGACGACCAAAGATAGATTAGGCACATGGGTACATTCTAACCATACACAATATTTTCCATAGAAAAATAATGTAAAAAAAAATCTGAGAGTACTTTCATTTATTATGCGCAACTTGTGTTAGCATAGATTTAAAATTTAGCAGAAATGTGAGACCTACATATACTCCGAAAAGAAATCGAGGCTGGTCGGGTCCCCAAATCCAAAAAAAAGACAAATATACAAAGGAAGAAAATAAAACAACAAAGAAAAATAACTGATGCTTCAAATAGACTCCATAAAGAAAAGGTATCTTAAATTTTCATTCAAAGAAGAAAGAAGATATCTATCTACACTTAAAGAAACAATTCAAAAAAATTCTACTAATTTGAGCTATTCAGATGAATTTCCAACATATATACATAGGATATACATATATACATACAAATACATATATATGTATATGTATGTATATACATATAAAGATCACAAACTTACATTTTAAACTTGCTATTCAAAGCTGTATTGAAGCGCTTGAACGTACCTGTTTGGTATCCGGTCCATCAACATCCGTTGATATGGGATAAGCTCGACCATTGGGCACTGCAGGAGGACCCTCAGATTTACTACGACGTGATGGTGTACCACCTCTTTCTTCCGACTGTAATTTATAATAATAATAATAATAAAAAAATTTATATTTTTTAATAATCTTAGTGTGAAACTAACTAACTTTAGAAAGATTTACTGACATTGAAGGCGCACTATACCACCTGCTTGGGTAACGTATCAAGGCTATTCCTTTTCAGATTTAACCTAAGGACTTTCTCGTCATATTGCATAGAGTAAGCAAACGGGATACTATCGGAGGTAAATCGAGTCAGACTTTTTTACTGGTTTGAAAGCACCATTCAGTAAAATGTTAGATTTCCAAAGTAAATATAAAATTTCCACAAAAAAAAAAAACGGACATAAAAACGGTTCCTACATGGCTACCGTGGATACAAAAATTGTGCGTGTGTTAATTGGTCCATTATGGTCACGTTTGCATAAGTTTTGTCAATTTATATATAAAAATTGCCGTAGATTTTGAGTTACAGCTATTGCCCCTATGAACATATTGGTCCATTTTTAAATTCAAGTTTGGCTTTCTATTTAGAATGTACACAAAATTAATTAATTGACTAATCTCCTTAGTTTTTGCGACCAAGCGGTCCCAACAACTCATGAAAAAACGAATGAATAAAGATCAAGCAAAAAGATAAGCAAAATAATGATCGAAGGGATGGGCGAAGGGACCATTGAATCGGGCGAGGAAAGAGGTGGTTGAAGGAACAGGATAATAGAGAGGCGATGTGACGAGCGATGAGTCGAACGATATGGCGAAGTAAAGAACAAACGTTAGGTCGAACGACGAGACGAGCAAAGAGACGAGCAAAGTGATGGGCGAAATAGCGAGCGAAGGGTTAAAAAGGAAAAAACGGCCGATGAGATAACCGGATTTGCGAATGCACTGGTGAACGAAGGATGGGATGAAGGGAGGAGCGCGACGTCGAACGAAAAGGCATGCAAAGAGACGACCGAAAAGATGAGGTAGAAGACGGGTTAACGGGCGAGTGAATTGTGGAATGATGAGCAAAATGGGGAACAAATTGGGGAACGAATTAACAAACGAAGAGACGAACAATATAGCGACGAAAGAACGAACGAGGAGACGAGTAAAGGGACGAGTGAAGGGACGAGGGAGCACACTAGCTAGACAGATGAACGAAGGGCAAAAGAAAAAATGGTGCGACAAGCAAAGAAAGCGGTGCACGAAGAAAGGGACGTAGGAAATGGCACAACGTCGAATGAAGACACGAGCGATATATCAAGAGCGAATATGAACCAAGAGACGTAGAAAGAGAAGCGCGCGAAGGCGAAGGCGAGCCAAGAAGAAATAAGCCATGTGGTGAGCTAAGTGGTAAAGTAAAGGCAAGCAAAGCAAGATGACGCAATCGACATAAACATGGACAAAGCCAGCCAAAGTTGCGCACTGGTAAAGAATTTTCGTAGCTTTTATGGCTATGTGGGATATTTATAGGTGCCACCAGTAAGAGGGCGAAGCAAATCTCAAGATTAAATCTCAAGATTAAAAGTCTTTTTATGAAAGTTTCAAAGCAGTATAATAATAACCCAATCCAAAACCATCAAATCTTCCACATTAGTATTGAAGCTCTACCAAGGGGATTTATCTTCTATTCTTATTTATTGTTTATAAACGAAAGTGCAAATAATTTAATAAACTTTTAACTCTTCTTTCATTATGTATTTAGTTTTCTGCCGGAATTATGTTCAAATCTTTACAAATGCAATTCATATCAGTGAACGCAATTTATATTCATAAAAAAGTACATGCTTGAGAGCTGTAAAATATCTAAAGCATACTTGTAAGCGCTGTACAATAAACTGCAAAGTTAATATACCTTCGGGCGGCGAGTAAAACAAGTAAATCAAATTAGATTAGTTAAAAATATATAAATTGCAAATTTTATTAAATATTTATGCGCATAAAATATTAATAATTAAATATGAAATTAAATTTTCATTTTATAATTACATTGAATATTAATCTCGCCATAATATACGAAATCTTAGCAAGGACATTAATTCATGTTCGCTGTCGTCACTAACAAACTATAACGTTAACGATGCCACTTGAAAACAACACCACAATATACGGGATATTAGGTTTTGTTGTCCTACTGCTCATATCATATTGTACTTGGGCGGTGCAGGATCGTATTGTGCATGAATTGCTCATAAGCTTCAGAGTCAGGCTAAACTCTCAGGCTTTTCTACCGTTCAGAGCGATTACGAGATGAGGAAGAAAGCCGCTATTTTTGGTGTAAAACTAATCTCACTGGGTACGGGCCAAAACAAATATCCCTAAGTCAGGTTGTAATACAGTTCATCTCTACCAGTTGCTAGGCAGCGGTGTTTTAGCGAATGCCTGGCTGCTCAGTGCTTAAGTGTTCTAAATTCGGTGTAAGCTACGTTCCGCTAGACACAGACTGAAGAGCCTAATAAATATCCTTAAGCCGGTCTGTAATGCGTTTCTTGTCTACCACTGGTTATGCAGCAGTATTTTAACGGATGCCTGGCTACTCAGCGAATAACGAAGGCTTTACTGCACTGGAGCAGATGGCATGGCCGACCTTTCTTTCTCGTCTACATGAAAGTTACCTAGAAACGTTGAGGTGTTTAGCAATTTTTCGACTTTATAGAGAAATAAAGCGAGGTGTATAAACGCAATTATGATCTATCGGCTTTATTGAAAACTCTACCGCAACTGAGATTTGAACACGCGACCACTGACTTGTTAGTCGAGATTCTTTGCCTACTCAGCCACTCAGACGATCAAATTAGAACAAGTGCAAAATCAAATCAAAGTTAAATCTAAGTGAGCCAAGCTCTGGATAAATCCCAAGTATAATGTTTAAAAAAAGGTTTAAAACATATCATAACATTAGTCTTTAAAGATCCCATGCAAAAGCTGAATATAACTTAACCCACTGTTTAATAACATTAGCAATAAAGTTAATGTCAAATGTCTCTTCCATATGCGTATAAAACGTAAACCTAAAAAAAAATATAAAAAAAAGACTCCTCTAGCACTAATCTAATGTGCGCGTATCCGTAGGCTTTATTATGGTGTAATGCATGTATTCAGCATTCTTTAGTTGTTAACAAGGCATAAATTCCATTAGAAGCCACCTATACATGGCATGTTTTTATAATTTTTACACTATTATTTTTCTTCCTTTATTTTTCTTTTAATGTTTTCTCGCCTTTGTGTAATTATGGAAACGAGCAGTGATTCACATTTGTACGTGTATTGTACACTTCCCGGGTTTTTTTAAAAAGCATATGGTCGTCGCATATGCACAGTGTATTGCAGGCCATTCATGTAAACTCAGTCACACGTATACAAATTAACGGGACAAGTGGTGCAATTTCCTTTTGCACTCTCTTCTTTTTTTTTTTGTTTTTTCTCCTTTTAATTAAAAAAAAATGTCTTCTTTTTTTTCATTTTAATTTAATGCTTACGATGTCATTTCATCATTTTATAGGAAAGAGTGCAAATTTATACAAATTTACTATAATTAAAACTAAAACTAAATTATTAAATAATTGAATGAATAAAAATTAAGATAAAAACTATCCGCCTGGGTGGCCGAGTAGGCAAGAGTCTCGACTAGCAACTCAGTGGTCGTGGGTTCGAATCTCAAGTGCGGTAGAGTTTTTAATAAAAGCCGATAGCCTTAGATGCTAGTGCTTTTAAGAGTTTAGTCTTAGAATTTATTTCTCTGGCGAAATTAATAATAATAATAATAATAAGATAAAAACTATAAAGATATTATATTTCGTTCAGATTCCATCACTTTTCTCTTTTTTAATGCGTTCCACAATACTAAAGAATGCATGCGAAGTAAAAGAAACATGCTATGTTAGCGTAAGTGATCTAAGGTTTTAATTTCATATAACCTACACGTATTCAATACTGTGGCAAAATATAACCAACTGTCTGTTTTCGATTGTATGGCGGGGAAGTGAAGTTTATCTGGAAATGTTGTTTTCCTATAACACCGGTTCGATTTCCATTTGCGAAGAAAGCTTTTGAGAGATTCTGCGGTGGCTGTTGTGTTTTTGCGGCCGAATATGGAGTTGCTCGGCAAACGGATTCTTTGTCCACGCTTACTAGTAAGCAGAACATTTTCTTTATCCCTAATATACATTGTCTCACCTACAAGTAACGTCTCTTCCACCTTGTACTCAAAGGGTGATCTCGGCACCTCCTTCCTTTTATTGCCAAGCTCTTTCCATTTACTCTGGGCGGGGACGGGTGGGAGTTTTCGCGAATGTACTGTGAGGAATAATCGTACTCTCGTTTTTGCCTAACATATCTTTCGTTCGACGGGGGTTCTTAGCATCAATTTAGGTTTAAATATTATACATACATACAATGACTGACGCCGGCATGACACGTCTCGCCTGGAAGCTCAGACACGGCAAGGTCGGCAATTTCAATTTCTTCTTGAAGTCAAAAAAGCGACTTCCGTTTAATGGAACCGTGCTATTTTTTTGTAAAGACCAGTTAATGAGCGATCTCTTATTCTGAGGGCAAACCAGGAGTATGGACTTATCGCAGACTTTTCTTCAGATCCGTTTGTAACTCGTCCGAGTGAACGTATAAGACCTCTAAGATTTAAAACTAATTTCTAAGTTAGGATCTTACGATTAGTTCCTTAAAAATAAATTTAATCAACTTCCAAATGAAAGATAAAAATGAATTGAAAAGCACGGGCTTGTGAGTAAGGAAACCAAATGACATGGGAGAGTATGCAATACTACGATAAAAGAAATTAAAATATGCGAATGTGTATCCGGCGAAGTTCGACTAAGTAAGTGCAAGGAATGGTTTGCATTAAAAAAATTCTAGTCCGGCAAGCGTACTCCGGCCTGCGATAAGTCTTCACAATACGTATTAACGCAAGTCGCCCCGACATATAACAAACTGAAAACTTAATGTTAACGTACAATAGTATTTTCTTTTCTTTTCTCTCGGATTTTCTATAAACATTTTATATTTTTGCACCTATGGTAGACATTGTAATCAATTACATTAGGCCTTAATGGCTTCGAGATTACGTAAGCCTCAATAATATAAATAAATAAACACAGGCAAGGAGTAGTAACTATAATCAGGCAAAGGCAACACTTAAACATCCTAAACGATTATTTTCATTGGAAAATACTACAAGTTACAGGTTACTGTTACGTAAAGGCCTACTTTTCGTGGGAGAAGGCCTAGAAACATACTTTTATGTCAAGCAATGATTTTGGTCATATATATTTGATCATATAGATTTAAAGGTTTGCATTCATAAACCCATTTATATGGTAAGAGGTTCAAAAAATGGCCTAATTCCATCCAAACATCTTACATTCATTTACTATACCAAAATATTAAATTTCTTCGATTTTTTCCGAAAAATATTAAGTATGAACGTTCTTTAAGCGACTATTCTTCAACGTTACATAGGTCGACTGTTCCTAGAAGCAATCTAATCCAATTTATTTGTAATAAGAGATATCGACCAAATGAATATCTTATACTCCAACATTTGCGAACATTAAATTGAATACTAAAATTTATAGACAGGCATTAAGCAGACGGAGGGACGGACAACACCATGTAGATTCAGAAGCAGTTTGGCTTGGCAGTGATTGATATGAAACGAAATATCGATCTACCTAAAGATGTTTTAAGTATTGCACACATTTCTACGAACTTAATATATCCACACTACAAGGTGTAATGGGCCATATATAACCATAACTTAATATTATATTTAATAGCATATCGTAAAGGTAACCATAGAACCATCAAAGTACATATTCGCAATATTTACACATTTTCTAAAGGAGACTGAGACCCGAACACCTAATCTTTTCATTTCATCGGTTTGACTAAGAACAGCAAGTGGGAGGAAAACAAGAAGAATTTCGATTTTCTTTACATTCCTAGGATCATTATTACACCACATAAGTGGAGGCATAAAAACAGGGCGTCTGAAAAACTCAACAATACAAAAATGTATTTAAAGCCGATTTAATTAAAAAATCTAATACTTTACTCTGCATTTAAAAAAGATCCAGAATACGCGTCCAAAAATCGTTTACATTGAATTCTTGCATTTGACTTTTTTTTTTATTTGCAAATCAAAGCTGTCTAAAACACATTTTTCTTCATATTTTTCACGTTTTTTATTTTCAAGAAAAAACGCATAAATAATTCCGCTTCTGTGTTTTTTTTTTTTCATTTTTTTATATACTCTACTGCATCTACCTACACGCACATAAATTTCTAGGCTTTGTATTGTTTGTCATTTTCATGGATAAGTTTTTCTCTCTGCGTTGAATGTGCCTGACTTGGTGGTAGTTTAAGCTTCTTATTGGGTTTGCAAAATCAGGAGAACAGCTTTGTAAAGTCTATTGATTAAATTTGGAAAACAGCGTTAAGCAATTGTCCATGCGATCGTCCACCTCGTCCTCTTGCATGTCTAGCTTTTCGCCCGTCGGTTCATTCGCTGGTCGGTTCTTTACCAGTCGATCCCTTCACATGTCGCTCCCTTCACCTGTCCAGCTCTACACATACCGTTCCCTTCATCTGACGGTTCGGTCACTTGTCCATCCAATCACTTGCCCGTTTATCCCTATGTCTATCGCTTCATCTATCCCATCATTTGTCCGTTCATCCAGCTGGCCGGCCCTTCATGTGCCATTCCCTACACACATGCCGTTCTCTTCACCTGTTAGTTCGTTCGTTTGTCCATCCAACCGCTTCTCCTTTCATCCCGATCCGTTCCATTATGTGCTGATCTCTTCTCCGGTCGTTCGCTTCGTCTGTCCCATTCGGCACTTGTCCGTAGATACACCTGTCCTTCCCGTCATATTTCGCTCTCTTCACCTGTCGGTCTCTTTTATGGCCGTTCGGTTCATCTATCAATCCGTCCACCTACCCATCCCATCACTTGCCCCTCCATCACGCGTCCAACCCTTTACATCCCGTCTCATTACCTATGCATCTCTCCACCCAACCATGCTTCCGACTATCAAGGTGTTCACTTGCCCGTCTCTCTGCTTGTTCGTCCATTCTCCCGCTTATTGTGGTTGTAGTTCTAATCACTTACATCACTATCTATTGCATGCTATGAATTTTATTGATCATCGTAAAAAATAACCCTCGCTTCTATTTGATTTCAAGACATGTTTTATTTTCAGCAATCAAAACTTATGTCTCAGATCTTATCCGTCACAAGTGTATTATGCAAACAATACGTATCAAAAAATTCGCCTCCAGCTTCCTACAATCTTTCTATTGTTTCTTTTTTTTTTTTTTTATTACTTCTCTTCAAACACGTTTCACTATATGCCAAGATATTTTATTTTATTATTCTATGTTTTTTTTCTTTTTTGTGTTTGCAGTTGGCAACACATTTTTTATTAGAAATTCTATGAAAACAAAAAAAAAAAGAAGAAAATATTGCAAAAATTTTAAATTTCTTCTACTTACTCTGGGCATACGATTTGCAGCATTATTGCGAGCGTCTGTATATTCAGAGCCTATAATAAATTCATGCGACTTATAAGCTAATTCTGGGCATTTTTTCCTACGCGGTATTGGTGGCTCATTTGTGGCACCTAAAACAATTCATTAAGTTTAATCAGTTAATAATAACGTTTATGTTTTATGATAATTGAAGACTTACCCACAAATTGGCTGGGATTTGGAGCGGGTGCACGACGCACCACTTCTGGCCTTGAACTACCAGTAAACTCATGCCAACGATAAGTGCTCCTATACTCCGAATGGAGCTGCTAAAGTAAAATGCAATAGAAAAAAAAAAAAAATGAGAAGAAAAGCAAACGCATTAATGCATCTATATATATATACATATATATGTGTGTATATGTATACATATAAAAAATAATGAAGAAATTATTTATCTTATAATTGTTTAACAAGGTCGCAATAGGCATTTCTTGTTCACATCACTGCTGCACATCAGAACTAAGCGTGCATGAGAGAAGGTAAAGAAATTTTTTTTTTCTTTTTTTTGTATATATTGCGTATGTTGTATGTGTAAAGAAAATACAAAAGATCATTCATACGCACCGTCAAACATTAAGGTTAAGAGTATGAAAAAAGCAAATTTTAACGAATTATGAACAAAATATATTGTCTCGAAACGAATTATGAACGCCCAACGATAAGGAAAAAAAAAAGTTGATCAGATTTTTATTGACATTGGGCACAACATAGCACCCAACGATAATGTATAAAAAATTTTATCACAATTTTACATGAATATATCATAAACACCCAACGATAAGGAATAAAAAAAATTTGATCAGATTTTTATTGGTTTTGGGCAATAGGTCTCTTAATCTAATGGAAAGGACATGCTTTGAAATGACTTTGGGAAAAATTTTGTTACATAGTTCAGATCGAAATCTTTTGCTTCTTCTTAGCTAGCTATCGAAAACTTAAACATTTTTTATTCCGGTTTTTGTAATTTTTCTCGGATCTTGCCAGTGCTCATCTTACTTTAATTCAAGAATTAATTTTTTGTGAATTATAATAATAATTAATTACTGGAAGTGAGCGAGCGTTTATTTTTCTCTTCAAGCTCACTAAAAAAATTTCAAATTTGAATCTTAACTTTTTGCGATTTCTAACACTCTAATGGCAAAGCAGTAGCTGCATGAGCAACCACGTATCGCAATGAACACTATGGTAAAACTACCGGCGGATAGATAATAAGGCCGAACGAAAGACTACCGCAAGTGAATATATGATTATAAAATAATTTGGTTACAGAAACCCATGAAAAAATTGGAAAATTGTTTGGACGGATGGACAGGTAGAGTAATTAGCGGTCGCATACACTGATGATCTCAAGAATAACAAAGTCAAGCTCTAAACAAGTACGTACTTAATATATCAGACAGAAGTTAGAATAAGTAGTCGCATCTATGATTGGTCGCAAGGCAAAATGCAATGGAAGTATCGACATTCGAATGATCGGAAAACTTTTAAACGACTCAATTGCTGGACGGGTGAACAGTTCAACCTTATCGAATCTATGTATCCCGTGGTAGAAATGAATGGTTGAATCGACGAAAGAATAGCCAACCATAACCATAAACAGTTGAAAGAATGAAAGCATACCTCCTTGCAATGAACGCTAAGGCTACCGTATGGGTCTTTTGAACGTAAAATTATGTATACAGAGCATGTAAAGCCCTGATTTATTTGATGGGACTTTATTTATATGAAAAGATTTTTAAATATCCGTAATCTCTCCCTGCTCCACAACTTTTGTGAATCCACTACAGTCAGAAAAAGGTACTCGAAAAGCTGAAAGTAAACGAAGACACTCCTGGATCGACTAGCAATGCGAAATTAAAAAATGGGCTTGATATGTCTGCACGCCCGTAATATACAAGAAATTAAAGCAAATTCGGAAAAACACCGATACCATTCGATAACTTTTGACCCAGATAATCGTCAGAATAAGTTTCCTAATCGATTTATTAATACGGCCGCACTTGGCAACAAAATATTAATTCCCATTTACTTCAAATTCATTCCCAATTTATTTTAATGCAAACTCGGAAAAACACCGATGTCTTTTCCATATTTCTTTCTATACCAAACGGTAACTTGTGACCCAGATAATCCTCAGAATAAACTTTCTAATCGATTTATTAATGCGGCCACACCTAGCAACAAAATATTAATTCCCATTTACTTCAAATTCATTTCCAATTTATTTTAATACACAGGAACACTTTCTTCACTCAATTACAAATAAATGGGGAACAAAATGGAGTTGACTGGACGTACTAGAAGAGAAAAATAAACCATTTTTGAACTGAGCGTACAGACAGCTTCGTAAACAATTGAGTTACAGGGTTTCCGAGGATTAAATGTTATAAGCGAAAATAAGAGAACATTGTCAGGGTTTCACTTCTACTGTAGCCATGTACGTGGAAAAATCACAACCAATTTTTTAATCTTGACGTCTTCATCCATCAAACTTCTTTCTTTTTATTAAACCTTACCTTCCCATCTTCATTTTGGCAACTATTATTAGGGTCACAATGACCGGTTACTATTGAAACTATCATATACCAAACGATTGGTAGCTCTAATGTTAAACCATCGATAAATATTCTCGGTTACATGTGATAGCATGTAAAATAGTTTGCTCATAGCTCTCTGTAAAAGCTTTCATTAAATTGTCTTAATAATCCCTTAATAATGCAAGTGATGCGAAAAGTATAGAAAAAGTTAAAAGCAAAGTGAACATTTTTATGCAAATATTCATTGACGATGAATTGTGTCATTAAATTTTATCAGGTACTTACGCATGAATTGCTGATTACCTCGACAAAATGAATAAATTAATGTATGAAAAATATGAAAAATTACTATCATAGTGTCACGTTCCGTGCGATTAATTATGATTTAAACTACTGTCTTATTTTAACTTCAAACTTTCAATTATCTATTTATTTATTTATTTATTGTGATAAAAAATTTATGGGAAAAATAGTGAAATTTAAAAAAAAATAAAAATAAAAAAATAAAAGAAAAATTCATTTATAATTTGTTTTATATTTTCCAGCAATTTGCCTTGAACTTCAATTAAATTCAATTAGTTTCATATTTCCTATATGCTCCTCTGTGCGTGCGTGTACATCACATATACATGTGTGCGTCATATATTTTATAATTTATATATACATGCAAAAAAAAAAAAAAAAAATGTCTTGCACATGTGTTTATCGAGTTTTCACGCAGAAACCCATAAAACATAAATGTATTACGCAGAAAATCATTAAGTAAATGCATAAGAACGTAAGTAACCATTGCACGTCGTAGCCTGAACGATGCGATCCATAAACCTTTTTAATAAAAAGTATAAGGAATTTACACACGAGTTAAGACGATTCTTGGACACCAAACAGGTCACAGCGCTTTTAGGCAACGACTGTATAGGAAGGAAGTGTATTTCATTCATTGCTATAACAAATATGAAGATAAGAAAATTACATATCTATCTAATGACTCGCTTGACAAATAACACTGAACTATAGCAGCACAGTTCTATAGGCCATGTTATCTTGATTGATGGTTCAGTTCATAAGAACTTAAGCGGGATCGGGTTTTGAAAATACAAAAAAAATTCCATAAATTGATAATGATTTATAGGTGTTCTCCGGAAACTTGTGCACTAACAAAGGAACAAGGTCATTTGGTAAAAAAGTTTCGTACAACACGGTACGAATTAACTGTATTAAGCAGAGGGTCGCCAGTATGTATCTCAATATAAAAACAAGCAGAGCCATCGATCTTCATCGAATTTCTTTCGTGCTTCAATTATTTTTATGCCATAATTCACACCATGGGCCCACCCATGAAAACAAATGGGACCATCGATCTTCATCGACTTTCTTTCATGCTTCCATTATTTTTATGCCATAAGTCACTTAAAAATTAGCTCGCATTTAATCCGGTGTAAGCTGATGATTGATTGATTGATTGATGATCAGCAGCATTCTGTTTGGCAACGTTGTGAGTGTTTTAGATGCAATAAGCCTTGAAACTATGCAAGCAAACCGGATGGATAACCTTTGTTATAAATGTGACGAAATGAACTTTTGCGAGTCAAGACTGTAGCATCGACTCATACTAGAAAAGCATACCACTTGCATATTGTGTGCAATATATGTGATAAGGAGAATAAAACCAAAGCATCTCACAATCGTTGCAGTAATTGTATGAACACTCTCGGTAATAGAGTAAGCGAACATTTAATGTCTTTTGGTCTGGCGAAAGTCAAAAGACTTTGTGTGAATCATATTAAAAAAACTTATCGCTAAAAAGCAGAAGATAGTCACAGAATGTGCAAGTTGTCTACTGGTTAACTTCGTTAACCAGCTAGTCTATCCGAGATAAAGACCACTTTCATTTTGATGACCTGTCTATGCCTGTCTATCCATCGAAGAGAAATACGCCTTCCGCTTCGATGAAGATGAGGATGATATAGAAGAGAATGCGATCCAGCCATCGATATTGCGTGATCCGAGTCTCCGTTCTGAAGTCCCTTCTGGTGAAGGGCACAAAATGTGATCTTATAAAGGAGTTATAGTTATGTAAAGGTAAGACAGAGCTACTAGCGTCTCGCAATGGAGGACTGCGTTAGAAGATAAGGTGGCTGCTCTAAGAAGACGTCAGTTAAAAACTTGACCTAATTACAATGAGATTTATAAAGATTTAGCATGTAATACTTAAAAATGTTCTTCATACACTTTCTTGCATTATACTATACTATTGTTACGAAAATCCCAAATTCAGTTAATGTCAGCTAAGTAATTTTCTCTAATAATAAATTCCCTAAAGAAGGAGAAACCAAATGAGCATTCGCAGGCGCGTCATGCAGGTGCAGGCCGATGAAAACGATTAGCGGAAAAGCAGGCTGGGATTAGAAATAAAACCATAAATTTAGGTATAGTAACATGCTTGTAAAAATGTATATAAATAGAATATTTGTGGAAGGGAGAGTTAGTCGGGCAAGAATATTTGAGCTGAGAATACGGCCGAAATAAATTGTGAATAATCGTACATGTAAGAAATATAATTGTAAATAAATACTCCTACTGTTGTGAAAGACAAAGTAGTAAAATAAAAGGACTTTGAAGTGTATTTCTCTTGATCAAAATATCCACGATCCAGTGATACGGACTGTATCTTAGAAAAAGCGAATTTCATAACACTATTATTATACCCCACATCAGATGTCCATGTA